AAGTATTTCTCTCCAAAAGTCTTATCAGCTTTGCAAAATGATGAATGAATTCCTTGTTCATTATTATTGCTTAAGTCATTCCTATTTATGCCAGTATTTGGAGGATTATGTTTTGATTGTTCTTAAGAGATGAAAACACTTTCTTGCTGGTGAATAAACACTGCCACTTTTTAAATATTTGTATGCAAAATGTCTTTAGAGCCATTATGAAATGCTTTCCAAAAGCATTAAGAAGCTGTTTTCGAAAAGCCACTTTTTCTCTACATTTTCTTTCATGCTAAACAGTTCAGATGAAAGGCCTTTCAGAGTTAACTAGTTTAAGCAATACCAGTGTTTTAGTGTAATGAATAACTTTTTATACAGGACAATTGCACACAGTTCAATATGCTAGTATTTCTATTTCTGTGCACCACCAATGCCAGGATTCTGTGGTAGAATTTCTTTCTTTGAGAAAGCTGAAGCGATCAAAACCCTGATTAACCTCTGATATTCACGTGGTGCTCTTGATCTTGAGGACCGAAGCAGTAACAAAGAGTTAATGGCAGCCATATGCTTAGGGTATTGTGGGTACTGTTGACCCAAATGTGAACTCCGTGAGTGACTGCTGCTAACTGCTGTTTGTTTCAGGTTTGGTGTGGAGATTACTGATGAAGAGTTTGAGCTGCTACTTGACAGAATCCCCCTTGATGAAGATGGAAATGTCAGATACCCCCAGTTCATGGCCATGTTTGACTCTCGGTACTCAGTTTATACATTTTATTTTTCATTTGTTAGCACATTTTTTTTAAATCTAAAAGTGTATGCAACAATTTCTAAACAGACTTGGTTTTCTTAAATGTGCTATTTGACTACGTTCTTTTTTATATGCTGATAAGATGAGGTAATACTATATGAACATTCTTTTTATACCTTAATAATCTTGAAACATGTTTTAAATATTATAGTAGAAAGAATTCCACATGGAACAAAATATTTGCATGTGAGATATCTATATGCTAAGGAATCAGATAAGCTTGTAAGTCAAAATTAATGATTTCTAGAAACAATAATAAGTGCACTTAATATCTTCAAAGAACACATTGCATTTGTAGATACTGTACATACACTGGAATACTTTTGAAGAGAGACAGTTGGGTTATGGATATTTGTTCTAGTCAATTTCTTAAAGCTAAGATATGGATCAAATTTGGGTAAAACGTTAGACAAGTTGATATGTGTGGCGATATTCTGTTATTGTCCAGAAGTCAGGGCTTGATCCTACTGACGTTACTCAATGGATTACTTGGGTGTGTGAAGACAATTTGCTGAAGTAAGGTTTGGAGAAACTAATCTTTAAATTGGAATAGAAAATGACAAAAATGTGCAGAAGAATCTAAGGATGGAAAATAACAAAGCCTACTGTCGAAAAATTGCTAAAAAGGTTAAGACTGGGGCTTCAGGGTTTGGGCACAACAGACTCCTGCTTTTGGATGTTCAGAGTTTGAGGGCTGAGGCCTTATACTGGCACCATCTGTGAAATATAAAAGGTCTTTCTTTAATTTCAGACAATTTGTGTATGTTGCTCAGGTTTTTTCAATGAAAAATTATGTACAAGGGAAGATGTTTCCAGATGTGAGCTTCTACAGCTGCTTTTGCTGTTTTGTGCAAGCCATGTACTTCCGCTCATACAGGTGTAAACCTGTAAGTTTTGATTTGTATGCACCTTTAAATTGTCTGAAACACATGCCTACAAGGCTGTGGGATTTGGATATGTTTAGATTTTAAGGGTATGTCTAAGTGTTTGAATTTTGGCGGCTATTTATACGTGCATAGTGCAGATGCAATAAGTGTGTACTACCTACATCCCTGACCACACATGCAGAAATCTGGGAGAGAGTTACCCCTGCAGTGTAATGAAACTATCTATTTCAATGCTGTCTAGCCTAGCCTTAAGAAGCTTTCTTTTCTTTCCCACCTTTCTAACTGCAGTCCACTCTCCTTCCATAAACTTGGTCTCCAAGCCTTGAATGTATTCTTTATGCCCATTGATAACATTTCCTCTCCAAATTAAACATTTTTATCCTCCAGTTTAGTTTTTGTTCACTTCACTCCAACAATCTTATCTCATCAAATAAAGTCTATGAGGCCTCTTCATCATTTGCATCCTCCCTGATAGCTCCGGAGTTCTCAGTACTGTGGATCAGCATCTTCCTTTCAAATCTTTTTTTCTGAGACTCACCTCTCCCGATATTTTGGCGACCCTATTAGCATTGCCTCTACTGGATTTTTGCTTTTTTTCCTTTCCCCTGTCTGAAGGTGTCCACAATGGCCTTCCCTTATTCTTCTCTCATTGATACCTACGTTTTTGGTTGCCATCATGGACTCTCAAATACATATTTCCATCCTTGATTTCACCTCCTCCATCTATGCTTACTTTATCTCTTGTAATCGCAATATCTCCTGTGGGAGAGTAAATGTCTGAAAACAGAGTTATCATTTTCCTTCTCCATTTCTCTGGCAACTTCACTCTATTCTTGCAACTCTGTTTTTGACTGTTGCTTGCCTTCACCCCACACATCCCATCTCCACCAAATCCCATTTCTTCTTCCTGTATACTGTCTTCATGACAAGAAGACCTTCCTTTAACCTTGTTCCATGCTGTGATTCTTTTTCAAATGAACAATGACATCCTTCCCTTCTCTGACATCTCACCCTTTCTGCTCTTTTCTCATTACTCCATTCCACATCCCTCTCCCTTTTTGAATTCCTCCTTTGCCTTCCAGTCTTCTTACATTATGTTAAAGCTTCTCCCTCCACAACACCTTCACCTTTGAGATTCTGTTGTTCTTATACTCTCTACACTGCAATTCTCACTACCAACAGTGGTATCCTCTTGTTTGGGAACTTCACTCTGTCAGTGTTTCCTGCTTTACCAAGCACCTCATTCCCTAAGAAGAGGTCTTGTTAGTAACACTCATCTTACCAGCCCCAACAATTTAAAGAGGTGAGCCTGTAAAGACTTAAGACCAGATTCTATTCCACCTATTTGGTACCTAAAAAGTGTGTTGCTTCTCAGTAGTTGCCTGAGGAGTTCAGCCTAGTTTTGCCCCAGACAATCCAAGAAGAGGAAAAAGAAAGAGATATCCCTAAATACATATATAATATATATATATTATATTAATAGATTAAAACTTAATATAATAATATTAATCTATATATTATATATATTTTATATATATATAAACTTAATATATATAATAATATATATTAGCAAGAAACTGCAATATTAAGATGGAAGAACAACCTTTTCCTGAAACACAGAAATCCGCAGGAGCACTCCAGATCCCCACCTCAGCAGGCAACCCTTGCACCCACTCCAGACAAAAAGGACATCTGACAGGAACCATAAACTACAGGTTAATTCTATGCTTCTAACTAGGGTAACCTGAAGCATATCAAAAGATATGGGAGTTTGGGAGGCAACTACCTTGGATGAAGTTGCACTGATATTTTTATGGGTTTCTCAAGTCCAGGAAGATCATTTGAGGTAACAATGTGAGGAAGGGAATGAAAGATGAAGGGCCTCATTGATTCTAGATGTGGCCCAGAGAGATCTGAACCATGCTGAGTCCTCATTTGTTTGCCATCCTATATACATTTTGTCCTGATCCTACTGCTGGACTTAGCTTCTTACCCCTAAGGGTGGGGTAGATTCCATTTGGTTTGGAGTTGTGGACAAGCTACTATTGCATGTGACTGAGTAGGACTGGAAGAGAGACAGTCTAGAATAATGTCTGGGAAAGAAGGGGGATCAAGAGCTGAGGATGTCTAGAAACTTTTCCCTGTGGCCTATTCTGACCTCATTGTTAAGGCTCCCACCAGGTTCCTCACAAATAAAAGAAATACGCATGAAGAAAGCATGGATCTCTCTTGAACAGAGGAGGACACCAGGCAGTCCTCTTCCTCCTTGTCTTCCTCTAGCTCCAATAGATTGGGGCTTCAGAACCAGGAATTTTATATAACATGCTTGTGAAACAGTGGGAAGATGAAGTGGTCTGGGATGAGTATCTGGGATGAATACAGCTGGCACTAGTAAACAGTGTCATAGCATAGGAATTGTCATTCCATTTTCCATATTCTGATTCTGAGTTAAAAAAAATAAATTTTGTATTAGGCAGATTATCTTCACTATGCAGGGGAGCTATTGTTGCCTAAACCCCATAAAGGCTACTTTTAAGACATATTTATGCCATACACACAGCTGGACACATCTGGGATGAGAAATGAACCTTGAAAGTCTACATCTTCAGTTTTATTGGCCTGGCATTTACCAAAAACCCATAATTTTCTGTTGTCTTTTGATGTGTCTGTTGAAGATAGCTCCAAGGATCTAGTCATAGTATCCTTTGAAGAGACTGGGATGACTGTAGTAGTGGTGCACGTATGTGTGTGTGCATGTCTGTATATGTACTAATAGGTTATGCTATGTTTTCTCCAAGCTATTCTGCTTCAAGCGACCAATACAACAGTCATAAACAGAGAATTCATTGCAATCAATCTTAGCCAGTAGATTTGCCCTCTGAGATTCATATAGGCCAGGGCACTAAATTTAAATCATACCAGCTATGGCAATTTTGGGACCTTCTGAAAAATTAAGCCTGTGCAAACCTCAGTCTGCATGTTTGATATCCTGGGAGGTTAGATAGAGTTAATCAGGATGAAGAATACGGCTCCTCAGTCAAAGGAGAGGCCACAGGATGAAGAATCTGATGATTCCCTGGGATGCAAAAACTTAAAACAGGAAAAGGAGTGAGGATTGAAGGTGTATATTCAGTGTACAGGGAACCCTGAACCATGTCCAAAGCTCTGCAAAAGATTCTAAGGAGTCAGCAGACACTGCAGGAGGATCTCAAATGCATCTTCCATGCCCAGACAGATGAGCTGGTGGAGTGTTTCTACAGAACCCTTAAAGCCATGCTGTGAAAAGCTGCAGAATCTGAAATTTAAGACTGGGGAAACCTTTACCTTCATAGTAAAAGATATTTCTTCAAGCCTCCACTGGCTTTCCCCATTGAACTATTGCACTGAAAGGAGTTCACAGGCTAAGTACAGACATTCAAAAAGCCCAAGCCTGAGTTGATTCAATCTTTGCTGGTTAGTCTAACCTACGTAGATCTAACCAATTTGCAAATGAATAGACATTCACTTTTGATTCCAGAAATGCAGCCACATGCCTGCAGTGGCTCAAACTAGAAGCTAGGGGGCACTCGAGTAAGCCCTCCTTTCCCTTTGGCAGCAACTGGAGGGAGAGAGGGAAAACAGGGGAGTTTAATTCCCCTCCCTGACCTCCCTTCACCTGAGGCGCTGCCCAGCTGGCTCTGGCCACAATCCCTGTCGCACAAGTGGCCAGCAGGCCAGAAAGGCAGGCATACCCCCGCTGGCATCCCCATGCTGGTGGGAGAGAGGGGAGATGGGGGGTTTAATCCCCCTCCCTCCCCCCACCTTTGCCTGAGGCTGCTGCCCAGGTGGGCTCTGGTCACACCCCTACCACTCGACAGACCTGGGCTGGGGTCCTGTGTGGGTGGGAGAGGGGAGGCAGGGGGTTTTAATTCCCCTCCTTTTCTCTGAGCCTGCTGGCCCACCCCTCTGCCCCTTCCACTCCAGTGGGAAAAAGTCTGGCAGGGGCTGCTCTGTCCCCGCTAGGCACACCAGGCTGCACCATCCGGGTTTCCCACTCCCATCTGCTTGTCAGCCAGCCC